AAAAGCGATAAAATATTTATCGGCGTAAAATTATAAATAATTTTTTTAAAAGAATTAAAATTGGTTCTTGCTCCTGCAACAATTAATATTATTTATAAGTGCAACGCACATTTATACGCATGAAGCACCCTATAAACTTTCACAGATCCACGAAGGTAACCCCTATAGTAACAAGTTTCCAACTTTTTCTTTTTATTTCAAGATGACTAAGCCAAGTTAATTTTGTTATCAATTTTTTAACCCTTAAAACTAAGACGTGGATAACAATTATTTTCCATATACACGTTTTAAGGTTACGCTTAAAAAACTTTTTTTATCCCACCAAAGCTGATTTCTTACAACTTCTGTAATGAGTTGAACTGAAACAGGGCATTTAGATTGCTTAACACTCAAAAGGCTTCATCTTTAAAAAAAAATTTATAAAACCATCATTAGATAAAACTAATTCAAATATTTTTTAACGAACAGCCTTACCTCAAGTAAGATTTATAACTTTCTAGGCCGTTTAAAACTTTGCTACAGTGCAGCTAACTACAGGCTAATTAGCTTGCTTTCTTTAGTTGAAAAAGTTTTGAAAGCTGTTTCAACTTAGAAAACAGATTAAATTTATTACGGTCACAAAAAAATTTGAACAATAACAATCTAACGTCAACTCCTACTCGTTAAAGATGCTGTAAATAGATCCTATTATAACTAAATTAGAGGCTTAATACTGTATGTTTAAAATTTACAGTTGTTTTCAAAAGTACGACCCTATAATTCTTTTTTTTTTTTACTTAATTGTTATTTTATTTATTATTTAAGTTTTTTTAATTTGATAATTGAATTTGTTTCTATAGTTAATAAATATTATCCAACCTTTTTTAAAGTTTATTGTGCGTATTGTTTCTATCCCAAAGAAATTTTATGTTTACTTGAACTTGTTTAGCTGAAAGTATTAATTTGGCTTTAGTTTGTAAAGATTTGTATTATTAATCGTAATCCGTCTTTGCGTAATTTTTACGAGTTTTATAATGAAAAATGAAGAAATTAAATAACCTACTGCTCTCAACGTTGCTTAATTAAAAAATTTACTTCGCAGTACGCCGAAAAATAAAACTGTCAAGTGATTTTTTACGTACTATTAAAAGCACTGCAAAATTTATTGATAATAATTTTCTTTCAAACAATAACCAGTTTTTGGTTAGCTTTACTAAAGAATATATTTAAAATTTAGAAAATTACTGCATTTATAACCTTACTAATTTTTTTAAAAACTTTTATTAATAAGTAAAATTTTGCTAGATACAAGACAACAAGGTAAGATTTGTTTAAAACCCAAATAAAACTTTTTCGTTTTAAGTACTTGAAAGCTAAAATGCGAAAAATATATTAAATATGTAGTAAAATAAAGCGAGTCTAAAGATTTTTATATGCAATCCTAAACATAATTTTGTTAGGTATGTTTGTTAGCTTAAAAGCTTTAGTTATCTTTAAAGTAAAATCAAAATTAACTGTTTTTTATTTTAACGAATTACTTAATTTTTACACAAAGCCCAGCTACTTCGTAATCTAGAAATCTCTACGATAATATCGTTAAAATATGTTACTTTTATGAAATTAATTTATAAACAAAAGGAATAATATTTTATTAATAAAAAATTTGTAAACGTATAACTTTTTTTTAAAGTATATAAATACTGGTATAAATGCCAGAATAAGAAGCTGAGAGCTAAACATTCTAGAGCAGAAAATACCACATCACGAACAGTAAACAGACGTATACTTAACAGAATAAACACATTGCGCTCCTTTAGTTTTTTTTTAACTTTGCCTTATATTAAAATGAAAGCCGAAATATTTTTAACAGAACGAATAATCGTCAGAACTGTCATAAATTATATGAATTATAATTCTTCTTAATAACTGCTAAAGAGATGAGCATTTAAGAGTTTTTATAAAGAATTTATCAAGTTACCAACAAATTTGCTTACGCATGTTTTTTTTAACATTCCTCCTGTTAATAATGGATCCATCTGTTTACTTTAATACAGTAATACAAAGTTTTTTCAAACAATTATTATTATTATTGTACATTTCAGTTTTCTCAAAGTACACAGAAATATAGCTGTCCCAATGACAAAAAGTCTGCAAACCTCCAGTTTAAGCAAAACTTGTGCTTATGTGAGTTTTGCATGTTTGACGTCTCTCTTAAAACTTATGCTTTGTGTAAGTACTCATTTCCTCATATAATAACTAGGAAATTTTTTTTAATAATACAATATAAATAGATCTTTCAAGAAAAGCTTAAATTAGTAATTTTCTATTTGCTTTAAAGAAAATATGAATAAATCCGAAAAAGTTTTTTGTATGTGTGAATTTGGAGATTTATTATGCCGTTGGAAAGGCTCTTTTTTAGAATTTGAGAATCTCCTTTTTGTAGATAATAATGAGGTTATTAAAAGTTATAATAAATTTGAAAAATACTAAACCATTACGAAAATTTGAAATTAATCAGAAACATGAAGATTTTCCTAGAAGTCTTAAAAATTTAAAACGATTTTACGTGCGTTTTTATTCACTTTTTTTATTTTTTATTTTTTAAACTAACTTACCAGCTTTATAATATATAATTTATTTAAGATTAAAATAAAAGATTTTACTGAGCAGCAAGTATTTCTACTTCTAGCTAGTCGTACTTATCGTTTCTTAGCAATTCAGTTAAATAGTTCTGTTTGTATAATTACTGTTCCACCTCAAGAAACAATATTGGAAAAATCCACAATTGTTTGGTAAATTTTTGTTTAAATCTTTGTAAAAATTTATTTACTTTTTCGCCTTCTTTTTAGCGCTACTATGGCAATTATAATTATAATCACTACTTAATATATTTATCTTATAGTACTACTTTATTATTATAAGATTTTGTTAAACTTGGTAGTTAATTTAACTTTTACTAGTAGACTTGTATTTTTTTCGATTTGGTTTTTAATTTTAATTAAAAATTATTGTTAATATCTAAATTCTTTTTATACATTTGTCAACTTTTTGTTTATAAAATAATTATCTGTTCTTTAATTCACTTATTATATCTTTTAATTATAGAATTTTATATACAATTAACTTTTAACTTTTGCAATTTCAAAAATTTTTATTTTTGTAAATTAACTTTTTATGAAAAATATATTATATTTAAGCTCCGGCGTTTGGATTCGTCTTGAAAATAAAATTATAAATATCGCGTGGCACTCTCTTAGCGCAAAAGACTCTCATCTTTTGGTTTTAACGAATCAAAGTTTATAGTTAAGTATAATTTTTTTAATTAAAACGGTTTTTTTTGAAGATTTTTTATAAAATGTAATTTCTTATTTTTAAAAAAAACTAATTTTCTTTTCAATTAATTTTTTATAAAAAAATTTATTTTGTTTTTAATTTATGGTGATATTGCAAGTGGTTAGTTGACGTTTCCTGTTATTTTTATTGGTCAATAAGGCAGGCGGTTAGCTTTTTTCTACCAACAAACGCTGTTTTTATTTACTTTTTTATATTATAATTTAATTTATAATTATTTTTTTTTTGAAAAGAAATTTATTTGACTGAAAGTCTGCTTTTTTTGGTTATAATCAACCATTACTTATTATTGTTTTATAAATCTGAAAAACTATTGCTCTTGTCTCAACTCTGTTTTTTATTGGTCTACGCCTTATAAGCAATCGCTAGATAGCACTTTGTAATAAAACCGACCCGTTTTGTCGTTACTCCGTACCCCATTTTCATATAACCAAATCATTGGCCGACTAGCGTGTGATCACTGTAGCAATTATCATAATGAATTTTTTTTAACTCAACAATTTTTTAACTTTAAAAGCCTTTATGACGTTTTAACCGCCTCAGCGGATAATATGAACCAATGGACTCTTTTCAGCTACGAGAAAGTATTTCACTTACCAAAATGTATTTATTATTATTATTATTATTATTATTATTATTATTATTATTATTATTATTATTATTATTATATTAATACACTGCAGCAGCCCAGTCGAGTCCGGTCAAGCTCGACTTGCCCGATGCCGGCCCGACTTTCCCATCTCTCTCTGCCTACGTGTTTTATACGCACGGCGAGCTTTATATTTTCTGTCCTGTTTTACCACGTGATCAGTACTTGTTATTTTTATTATAAAAAATAATTTATAGTATTAAGTTTAAAAAATTTCCCGTCAATAATACGCACAACCAGTCATAAGTTAGTTATATGTTAATAATTTTTTAGGCGCTGCAAAGTCGTTTATTAGTTACTTAATTTCTTTATTTTTTTGGATATTTTTTTTATATATATTTCCGTGTACAGTCTTTTGGATATCGACTTTTTTATCAACTCGCAAGAAGCCGTGCTTGAACAACATCGTATTATCCAGTATTTTGGTCTGTACTAATATAATCCTTAAGAATTATTTATTATTATTACTGTTACTATAATTATTTACAATTATTATTACTAGAAAAACTTGAAGGTACTGCGCTTGCGCAGGGCCCCTTTTTTTTAAACCATGCGATTGGCTCTTTTTTGACCTCTGCTTTTGTTTTTAATTTCTCTTTACCAATTATGGTATACAGTAACGAATCCTGATTGGTCTGTGTGAAATAGTTTTTCTCCCCCTTTAGGCTTTGGGATTTGCTAACGGTGAAGCGCTATTGGCTATTCTTCTTCCTTATCAGCCAATGTTTCTTTTTGAAAATGCTTATGATGATAACGTTATATTATTATTACTACTACTATTATTGTTGTATTAGTATTAAACAAAATATATTAGAATAACGTGGAGTTCAGTAGTCTTGTTCCTATTGGTTCCTTACCATTTCATGTAGATAGATGTCACCTTGAACACCACGCTTTTTATCGAGACCCATTGGTTAGCGAAAGGTCCACTCGTTTAAGTATAAGTTTATTGATAACACAACATTTTTTTTTTGCTTCTATTTTCTATTAAAAAAAGGTTTGTTATTCTTCGTGTCCTTAAAAATACGGAAACTAGACGATTTTATTCTCATTTTTCTGCCGTTTTTTGTCCGTTTTTAAACAAATTGGTCGATTTTGTTTGCGACGAGGACTCGACCTTTTCCCTTCAGAATTTTTTGGATAAAAAAAAAATTTTCGTGAATGCTCTTCAGTTATTATTTTTATTAATTATATTTATTATTATTTATTATTTTTATTATATATACATTATGATCATTAATAAGAACTGTTGAAGGTGAAGTTCATCCACAAAAAGTTGCGATGCCTTCCTTGTGCCCAAACACAATTTATATTGATCATGAAGATGTTGTAGTGACCTGCAACCTCTCGTTTATCAACTTTGAAAGTACTTAAAATAGTCATAAGAAAGTTTTATTATTCTCTCATTGGTTCATTTGTTTATTCAAGAAAAAAATTATAAGAAATTTTTTTATTCTCTCATTGGTCTTTATTTAAACGGCTGGTGTCATTGGTGGTTAGTTTTTTTCTTATGAGTTCTTTTTTTCATTGGTCCCTTTTTCACTACGTTCTTGGTTTCGAACATATTAAAAACCGCAACTCCTACTTGGCTTGTGTTTAATAATCACTTTTACGGCGATAACGTTTTATTTTAGATTTTATTGGCTACTTACTTTGACGTCCGTCTCTTTCTGTTTTTTTCTCTATTCACAATTTTATTGGTAAAAAGTATTGAGTCCGTCTTTGCCTTGCGTAGCCAACAGTGTTTGTTTTTAAATTTTATTGGCTATTTTCCATCACTATCCGTCGCTCCGCTTATTTACTTTATATATATGAAAGCACTAATTCTTTTTTTTACCATTTTACCGGCTTATAAAAATTTTAAAAGTCAATTTTTACGACACAACTGTTCAAATTTTAAATTTCTTGGCTGCTGATCGCTTTATGTTTTAATTAAAAATTCTAAAGTCATTGATTCCTTATTTGCGATTTCATATGTACGGAAAATACGTTTATTCGAAATTCTATCGGCAATTTACAATAGCTGGCGTGCATCGCTTTTGTTTTTCACAATTTTATTAGTTTAAGTTTTATTAAAATCGTTTAAAGTTGTTTATGTGACTCTTTACCATCACTGGCGGCCGTCGCTTTCCTTTTATTTTTTATATATTAAAAAATAATAAAAGTTATCGTACATATATAAAAAAGCTACTCCGCCCGAGCCAAAAAGTATACACGTGCGGAGGCAAGCACAAAGCCTTTTGGAAACTTTAAAAGACTTGCAAAGTTCGCTTCAGCGCTTTTCTTGCGATGCTATTTGTGCCGGTAAAAAATAATAACTTTCAAACTTTTTTTTTAATATTTTCAATAAATTAGTTCATATTTTTTATATATATTGTTATTACTATACTTTTTGGTTATTTACTTTCTACTATTTATTAATAATTCTAGTTTTATTATACATAAAAAGTTTAGAAAAAAAATTTATTGTAATATTTATTTTATTAATATCATAAATAACAGGAACAATAACTTTAAAACTTTTTCTTCTTCTTATTATTAACTTTTTTATTATATACTGATAAGTTTATTATTTTTATCTAAAAGGAAAAGTTCATTATTTATCTTAAAAATTTTAGAAAATTATTTACTTATTTGCTGATATCATTAATAATATTTTTATTATTTTACTTCGGATTATCATACAAACTTTATTGATATATTATTATACTTCCTATTATTATATATACATTTATATATATATATATATTTATTTTTTATAAAAATTTATATTATATTGTTATTATAAACTTTTTTTATTTGGAATAAATATGAAGAAAAAGTTTTATTATTTATAAAAAGTTTAGACAAGTATACTTTTCTTTATTCTTTTTTATAAAAATTTTTAATAGTTTATAATTATTTTTATATATATTTTATTTATTTTTTTTACGCGGAACTATTACGAAATTTTTTATACTAACAGTTAAAAGTTTAGTTAAGTATTTTATTTTTATTCTGTTTACTTATAATTTATTAAATATATTTATTATTACTAAAAAGTTTTTAAAAGTATTTTATTTTTAATATTACTATTATTTATATTTTTTTTTACATGTAATAATTATTTATTATTAATGAAAAATTTAAAAGTATATTATTTATTATTATTAATATTTTTTTTACTTAAAATATATTATAAAAAGTTTTATTATTAATAAAAAGTTTAGAAAATTATATTATTTATATTTTTTGCTTTGTTTTTAAAAAAGTTAGTAATTATATTTTATTTTTATTATTATTTTTATAGTTTTTTTGTATTATAAATTTATTTTTACTTTTATTTATAAAAATATGAAAATGCAGAAAAGAAAAAGAAAAATTATTATACTTTTACATATTTTTAATTTATTATTATTATTTATAAAATATTTTATTTTTATTATAACTTTTTTTTTGTATTATATTTTTTATTCGTTTTATAACTACTTGAAAATATATAAATTATTATATTTTTCTTTATTAGTATTAATTACTTATATTTATTATAAAATATTTTATTTGTATTAAAAATTTTTTTACTTTTTTTACTACTTTTATTTTTTTTATTATTAAGAATATTCGGACGTGGAAATTCTTGAATACGTTAAAGAAGTTGTTATAGTATTTCGAAGTTTTCATAACTTTCTTTTTACAATAAGCAATGAAATACAGGAAAAGTATGATTTATTATTATTATACTATTCTTATTATTACTATAATAATTATTATTAGAAAGAAGAATTCTATAAATGCTTATCAAAAAAGTGTTGATATTTTGGATGACATGAAAAAAAACTTTACTTTATTACAAAATACTAATAAAACTTTAAATATAAAAGTAATACTATTTTTGTATAAATATTATTTATTGTTTATTGTATATTCGTTTTATTATATTATTGTTATATATTATTATCAATATTATATTACTATTAATATGTAATATTTTTATTATTTTATATTATTATGTTATTATATTATTATTATTTTATTATATTGTTATTGTTATACTTATATTATATTATAATATTTATTATTATCGTCGTCATTTTATTATTTATTTAGTGTTTTTATAAAATATTTTTGTTATCATTATTTAGTTTGAAGAATGCCTTCATCGCCACCAACTTTTGGCCTCAAAGTCACGTGTTTATTTGAGTAGACTTGAAGTCCCTATTTCTTATGCGGAAGTCATTAATTATTATTTTTCATATTATTATTATTATTAATATTATCATTATTTAAGAATTTATATTTGGAAGAACTTGAAGAACTGAATTCGACTTTAACGGATTTGAACAAGAAAAAAGATATATTTAAAGAAAGAGTAAAACAAGTAAAAATAAATAAGAAGTTTCCCTTTTTATCGGAAAAACACAAAAATAATATAACAGAATTTTTAAAAAAAGAGTATGTAAATTTATTATTATTTTTACTATTTATAAAAAATATTAATGAACTTTTTAAAATAGTAGTACAAAAAAAATTTTTTTATATGAATTTTTATTTTTTATAATAATTATATATAATATATCAGATTTTTATTATTATTATAGAAAAAAAAATTATATATGAATTTTTTATAAATAAAATTTATAAAAAATGATGTAACAGAATTTTTATTTTTTTATTATTTATTATTATTATTTAATAATAATATTGTTTATCTTTCTGTAAATTTTATTATAAGAAAATATTTTTAAAAAGTATTTAAAAATAGCTTACATATGAATTATATATTTTTAAAAAATTTTAAAAATAGTATAAGAAATTTTTTTATTTACTATTATTTATTAAAAATATATTATTGATCTGTTAAATTATTTATAATAGAGAAAAATATATTTTTATGTAAACTTTTATTTTTATTAATCTTTAAAAATAGTATAATAAAATTTTTTTTATTTATTACTACTTTTATAAAATTTTATAAACTTTTAGTAAATTTTATTAGAGAAGAAAAATATTATTTTATAAATTGTTTGAGGAATTAAAAAATATTATTTATTATTATTGATTAAAGATATATTTAATCTTAAAAGTTTTCTAAAAGAAATGAATAATTTTTTTATAAATTATTTATATCTTATACAGTAAAAAAAATTATTAAACTTATAAAAGATAATTTATCTTCTAAAAAAAATTTTTTATATAATTTGAAAAATGTAAAAATTTTTAAAAAAAATAAAATTAAAAGAATTAATTATATAAAAATTATTATATTATTATTGTATATAAAAAAAATTATAATTCTTATACAATAAAACATAAAAAATATCTATAATAATCGGTAAAAAAATATAATAATTATTATTAAAATATTTTTCCACTAAAGAATTTTACTGTTGCGGAGGGGGCACGTTTTTTTTTGTATATTGTGAATTTTTTTAAGAGATCGGCATCTCAGTCACGCCGCACTCTTATGCTTAAACTTCTGTTATATGAAGCTTAATGCTTCGTAGCACGTCACCATTATAACACTTTCTTGAACGAGCCCAAGAAGTACAGGAAATATTATTACTTTATTCAATGATTATATATATATATTAATTTTTATAAATAATTCTATTAAAAATCTTAGGAATTTATTTTATTATAAAATTTTTGCTAATAATTTAAAAGATATTTATAATTTATATAAGAATTATAAACTAATAACTTGTTGAAATTTTATTAATTGGAAAAAAATATTATAAATTTACTTTATTCTAACAGTTTTTACTAATATTTGTAAAGAAATAATTATAATATATGTAATAAATATAAATTAATAATAACATTTTGAAAATTTATTCATAATTATATTAATATATTATAAATTTAATATATAATTACAAATGTATAACAATCATTTAAGCGTTTATTTCTTCATTTATTTCTTGTTAATATTATCCTTAATAATAAGTTCTTAAAAAGTTTTCTTTTTTATTAATAATTATACTAAAAGTATTAAATTTATAACAATTTTTAAAGCGTTTATCGTTTTATTTATATTTCTTTTAGGGATACTCTTATTAACGACCTCATTAATGAAGTTAATTCTCTCAAAATGGCTTCAAATAATTGAACTTTTCCAATTTTTCTAATATACTAATTATTTTTATTTTTTTTCTTTGTACAAATTTTTATTATAATAAAAATTTAATTAATTTCTTTTTTTTTTATTGATAAAAAATTTTCAAACGAAAATTATAATATAATTTTTTTTTAAACATTTTGTAACTCAAATTAGTAAATTATTATTAAGTCATATTTTAATTATTATAAATTTAACCGATTTGTTATTTTTATAATATTAAAAAATTTATTAAAAACTGAATTTACATTTTTTGTTATTATTATAAAAAAATCTTTTAAAAACTTTTATTATTCGAAAATTTTATATTAAAATCAATTTTAAAACTATTTTATATAATTTTTTTTTATTATAAATAAAAATTTTTAACGGAAATTTTTGTTTTATAATTTTTAAGTTTTTTTAATTTTTATTTATAAATTATTCTAAATTTATAACTTTTTTCAAAGATTAGCGAATTTATTATTTTTTTATAATTTGAATTTTATATAAAATAAAAAAAAAATTGTTAATATAAATTTTGACTCACATTTTGTATGATGCCAAATTTAGTATAAGCGAAAGTTTAAATTCTTTATAACTTTTTAATAATATTATTAATAAATTTAAGTATAATTTTTTATCTTTTTTTTTTTATTATGCATAAAACGAATTACTATTATAATTGTTATTTAACTGTGTTATTTTAATATTTTATTATTATTGTATAAAAAAAATTAAATTGTTATAATTTTTATAAGTTTTTATTTATAAATTATAAACTTTTCATTTTTTCAAATATTTTTTTTATTTAAAATTCAACAATTATTAAAATAATTTGTTAAAAAATTTTTATTTATTTTTTATTATTATCGATAAATTTTATAAACAAAAATTAAAATTTATTATAACTTTTTAAAAATTAATTAAATACTTAATAATTTTAAATTTATAAACTTTTTATTTAAATTTTACTAAATTATTTTTTTTAATATAAATTATACTGATTGTTAATAAAAAAAAATTTTTTATACATTTTTTTTATTAACTCGTTTTAAAAAAAAATTTTAAACGAATATTTCACGTTTTTATAAATTTTTTATTATAGTTACGACGTGTTTTTTTTATTTGATAAATTTCTGTTAGTCAAAAAGTTAAGTTCATATTTTTATTGTTGTTAATTTTAATCTTTT